CCCAAAGAACCATTTAATTGCGGTAGAGACTGAGCGCTGTGGAGAAAAAGTATAGCATTTAATGAGGATGTCATGCAAGGGGGTACATTGTCCTGTGAGGACAGCATTGGGCGGGGTTTTTTTTTTTCTATACTTGCTAGATTTTCTGCAATTGGTGTTTACTTTGGTTTTGCAAAAATAATACACTTTTAATTTAAAAAATGAGTGGAAGAAGTGAAAAGGATAAAAAAATCGAGGTTTTTAATTGAAGAAGAGAAGGGAGAAATAAAGTGGATTGGGAGATGTGAAAGCTACTTGAAGAGCAGTTTTGGGAAAGGAGCTACAGTTTGCCCATGCGAGCCCAGGGGGTCTAAGACATCAATGGGTCCTAACCTCAGGGAGAAAGAGTTTGGTTCCCTGTGAAATTCATGGGACAGTCTTGCTTTTTAAGCAACGTCATGAGTAACCGAACGCCCAAAGTGCCCCCGCTGCGGCTGGGACCACACATAACAAACGCATCTCAGATGCACCCCCCAGGCGCCCGGAGAGCCGGGGAGGGCCCTGCGGGCAGAAACCCAGGGGAAAGCAGGGTGAGGCTGTGCGCTGCTGGGAGTCAGAGGACTGGGGGCTGATCTCACTAAGTCTGGACTAGGTTGTAACAGCCACGCCCAAGGAGGAGATGAGGCCCTGAGCCCTCGCAGAAAGTTAGAAATGAGACCCTACCCCACCCCATGTGCCCAGAAAGTGGTGTCGCTTGCTACACCCTCAGTGAAAAGAGGGGCTTCAGAACATTCTGCCCTGGGGACAAGTCACGCCTCTGCTCTGCGCACCTCCCCCCTCAGCAGACCTGGGTGCATGGGGTTGTGCGTGCTGCCTTCGCTTCTGCTGGGCACGCAGATCCCCCAAGGCCGCTGCCACCGTTCCTGCCGAATCTGAAGGCGGACAAGTGACTCCATTCCTCCTAGTATAATACGACAGCACTGTGCTCTGATAACTTTCCAGCGCAGGCAATGTGCCCAGCTTGGTGTGTCTTAGCCTCCGCATAGTGTGACTGGAACAATGAGGTCTAAGTGCTGAGGTCACAGCTAACGTCCATCCCCATTTTCCTGGTGAAAGAACTGAACCGCAGACGAGGGACTTGGTCCAGGGCCCATAGACAGATGTGGGTCCCGGGTCAGTCTGACCACACACGCGCACACACACACACACCCTTGAAATTAACATCTTCAACATCAAATCACACTAACACTGGAAAGGACTGAGGCCACACACACACCCCCCCCTTGAAATTAACAGCGACTTCGACATCAAATCACACGCCAACACTGGAAAGGACTGAAGCGGCCCCTGAGATCAAAGCCCCCTGAAGGTATCTGCAGGTCCTGCTGTTTACAGGGGATCCTGGAAAGGGGCCGAGTGTGGGGGAGGGATGGGAGGAAGTGACCGGGATAAAGCCAGCCAGAGGGCCCCACCACTGGGGTACTGGATGCCCCAGTGCCCTTTGTCGGCTGTGGAATTCCCGACACGTGTTCAGTTACGTGCTTCCACGTTCCAGGCTGAAATGTCATCATCTCACTGACCGCTTTGCAGATCACCCTGCTTGCACCTGCGTGCCCCCGGCATCCCTGCTCCCCTTTCCTGCTTTATCTCCCTCCATAGCGTTTGGCTGTAGGGATTTAGATTACTTATTGCCTGCACCACTGCCAACTTTAGCGTCACCTCCATGAAGGCAGGGACTTTTGTTCCTTTGGCTCCCTGATGTTTCTATTACCTAGAACAGTGCCTGGCACATAGTAGGTGCCAAATCAACCAGTAGACAATAACAGCATGTTTCCTGTGCCTGATCCTTAATCCTGACGACAGCCCTAGGAGACAGGAATGGAAATTGTTCCCATTCTCCAGGTGAGGAAACTGAGGCTCAGGAGATAAGACTTAATAGCCCAAGCTCTTGAGCAGACCCCTTCTGGTCTAGGAGCCATCTACTTGGGGTGACACACACTGTGTGTGGTTAGCCCCACCCCCAGATGATTCCTGCAGTTGGGTGCCTGACTCCCTGTGCTTCTGCCACCTCCCGGAGACGCCAGAAGCACAGGCGAAATAGACAAATGGGACCACATCACACTTCTGTGCATCTAAGGAAGCAACCAACAGAATGTGAAGGCAACCTACAGAAGGGCAGAAATGTGTATCTGAGCAGAGGTTCATATCCGGAATACTTCCACGTTTCCCCTCTACCGTCACTCTGCACGAGAAGGATGCTAAGGCTTAAGGTGGAGGGGCAGGTGGACAGTTAGGAGACAGAGCCCCGCCCATCTCCCTGGGAGGCGGGCAGGAAGTCCTGGGCTCAGGAGCATTCAGCTACCTGCCAGGAGGGTTATGAGGACTCCACAGTGGAACCGTTGGGGGGATCTGGCCACTCTCACAACCCCTCCCCACCCCAGCGCCTTCCAGCCTTCTTTTTGTTCAAAAAGTGGTAGAGCAAGAAGTTGGGAAGTCGTAATAGTGTGACCAGCCATCCTAGTTGTAGCATGGAAAGTCCTGTGTCCTGAGTGACCCCTCAGTCCCAGACAAGCAGAGGCAGTTGGCCCCTGCTGGATCCTGACCATTCCCGTTGAGAGTTTGGTGCCCAGTTCTGGTTCTCTGTAGCGGCTGACATTTATTAAGACTCAGCTGTTGCTACTGATTCTCTCAGTAAACGTTGCAGCACCCTTATGAAGGGGACACTGGGATTACCCCCACTCACAGGCAAGGAAACTGAGGCTCAGAGAAGTTGCATAACTGGCCTGAGGTCCCACACAGGCAGCGGCTGAACCTGGACTCATCAATTCAAAGATATATTGTAACGTATCTGAAATGGTGGTGCACCTTTGAAGCAATGAGATCACACTGTCAGCCAACAGACAGTCACAAAAAATTGTCTTTGAGCACTTGTGAAGACTTGATCATCGCTGGTCACTTTTTTTGTCACTTCAGTAGAGTTGTGTGCATTTTTTTTAGAACTGTGTGTATTGAGTTTAATTGCTGTTTGAAACACCTTTTGAGATATTGCAGGATGATTCAGGCTCAAGATGAAAAGTAACTGGATGCCCAGAAATACCTGGTAACAGTAGCAGGGGATCAATTTGATATTAATGAAACAAATGTTTGTTGTTGGAGGAACAACTGCAGTTCTTGTAAAGCAACAATGGAGAAAGACAGAGCCCCTCAACTAGACAAAGCTGGGTTAAGATGTGCTGCTGAGATGTGCGGAAAAGCCTCATCTACACCATTAGTTCTCAGACTTGAGTGTGAGATCAGGATCATGTGGGCAGCCTGTTAGAACAGATTGCTGGGTCCACGCGAGAGTTTCTGATACAGTAGCTGGGGTGGGGCCTGAGAATCTGCCTTCGTGGCAAGTTCTAGTGCTGCTGGCTGGGGACCACTCTTTAAGAGCCAAGCAGAGCAGAGGAAGCAGGAGCAATAAACATTTCAACAAGGGGCAGGTGTGGTTGATTCATGCATCGGAGAGATGTGGCGTGAAGATGGAATTTGTCAGAATCTTCTGGCCACCTTTAAACAAAAGCTACTTAACTTCCCCCTTCATGTTTCAATTGAGAAAAATGGAAACCAGGAGTTTGCTCAAATACCAAATGCTGATAAAACCCAGGTGTTCATAGACGCACACTGGAGTGATGTCACTGCCAAAGGTGCCCAGGAGGTACAGGTCAGGAACTTGGATTTCCTGTCAATGTTCAGTGAAGTCTAAAAGAATTCATTCAATCAATACAGCATTTCTAAGGAATATCAATATGTGTATGAAATACCCAAAGAGTATGAAAGCATTTTATTATAATGTGTCAAAATGGTGGCTTTTTAAAAGTTACTGTATGTAAAATAATGCTGCATCTAGCAGTCTATAACATCTTAGATTCAAAGAAAGATGAAGTTTGTTTTAAGAGAAAATATGACTAGAACCTGTGGAATGAGTTTTACTGCTTCAGGCAAAGCCAGAATAGGGAGGGACACCAGGCACTTAGGTAAGTATACTCTGTGAATACAGTGGCAGAAATGGCAAAGGTGGTACCTCAGTGACTGACGTTTGGGAAACAGAATGTGACAGTGGCTCTCAAAGTCAACATTAGGGTGTCTCGGCCGGACAAGTTCACCCAATGAACAGTCCCCATGGTTACATTTACTTCTATTTGAACCCAAGTCTCCATGTGACGATTACATTAATAAAGGAAGAAAGAAAATACATATTCCCAAGCCCCAGATCATAAGTTTAATTAACAAAGTAGTAAAAACAATTTTATAAGTGGGAAAAAAATGTGAGACTGCATATTTCACCTGGTATAATGACAAAGTTAAAGACAAAGGTGATAAAGATGTTTGATCTCCTTTTCATTCTTTTTTCCTCAAACTTTCAGTGAGAGGACAAGAATTTTTTTTTTAAATGAGTACTTGTGTTTAGAGTGTATTTGTAGTTTTGCCCGAAATTCCTTCAGTCAGCTCCTTTCCAGTGTCTGTTAGGATTTTGTGATAAAGCTTATGAAAGTGCCTAATGTTTTTGGCTGAAGTGAACAGAAAACCTCCCTGGTGTAAATGATAGGAACATTTCTTATTTGTTTAGTAAGTCTCAATTTGAATTATTTTTAGGGCTGTGGCTCAACATCTGATTTTCTTGCTCTCTCTTTATGGTTACAGAATGGCTGCCACAGATCCAGATGTCACATCCTTATTCCAGTACGTCCAAAGTTAGAAAGTAGGGCAATCAGGGCAGCAAGAATGAGCTTTCCTCAGCTGCCTCTCTTTCTGCCCCTCCCTTTTTTTTTTTAAATCAGGGAGAAAATCTTCTCCGGAACCCAACCCCAACATATTCTCTAGTGTCTCATTGGTTAGGATGGGGTCACATGATCACTCCTAAGCAGCAAAGGAGGCTGGGAAAGAAATCTAAGATGTTCATTCTCTACAAAGGAAGTAGGCAAAGGGAAGAGCTATTGGGTATTCATACTATGAAAATTAATAATCATCGTCTCTTTTAGTTTCAGCTCCAGAATTTGTTTTTGAACATGGCTATCAAACGTATCTGCCCACGGAAAGCAATGAAAACCAGACAGCCACTGTCATCTCTCTCCCTGCCAAGTCACGTGCCAAAAAGCCCACGGTCCCACCTGCTCAGAAGAGGCTTAACTGTTGCTATCCAGGTAAAGGCAGCATCGTGTCCCACATGTAGAGAATGTGACATCTAACAGGTCCAGGGCTTGAACTTGTGAACTCCTGACAACGGGACATGGAAGCTCCAGGCTGCCTGGCTTAAACATGACAACCCCACAGCTCTTCCATCATCACACATGACCCGTCTCTCACTGTCTCTGGTCACCATGCACATGGGCTCTTATTTAGACTTTAATAGCTGTGGGACTTTGAATGGGACTAGTGGGCATTTCAGATTACTGTGAGTTTTTCTTTCTGTGCAATAGCTTGGGAAGAAACCAGAAAAATTGTTCTTTCCTTGCTTTTAAATAAAAAACTTTGAGACTTAGGGAAAAGTTGCAAAAATAGTACAAAAAATTTCTGTATACCTTTCATCTGGATTTCCCAAATGTTAGCATATTACACTTGTTCTGTTGTACTTTCTATATATATACGTGTATTTTTCCCCCAAAGTTGCAGACCTGATGTCCCTTTACCCGTAAGTATCTCAATGTGTCTTTCCTAGAAGCAAAGGAATTTTTTTATATAACCACAGTACAATCATCAAAATCGGGAAATTAACATTTACACATAACATTATCAAACTGCTGACCTTATTAAGATTTTACCAGTTGTTTCACAAATATCCTCTGTATCAAAAGAAAAACATTTTCCCTGCGATCCAGGATCCAGTTCATGATCACAAGTTGCATTTAGTTTTCATATGTCTTTAGCTTCCTTTAATCCTAAGCTTTTGTCTTCCATGATCTTGACAGTTTTTCAAAGTACAGGCCAGTTAATTGATAAAATGTTCGCCCCTTTGGGTCTGTCTGATGTTTCCTCGTGATTGGACGTAGGTGGGAATCACAGAAGTGAGGTTGTGTGCTTCTTGGTACGTGTTGTCAGGAGGCACACTGATGTCTCTTGGTCCTGTTACCGTAGGGTTGGCCCTCATCACTTGGTTAAGGAAGTTTCTGCCAGGTTTCTCTATTCTAAGGTGACTGTGTTTCCCTCGGTTGACAATCTTTCCTCGCCTTTTGAAGGTTGCCAATTCAAGACTGCCTACGGCATGAAGGACATGGAACGTCATTTAAAAATTCACACAGGTAAGTGAGTCACACAGATCCCTCCTCTGAGCTAGGAGCTGTGGGTCCCGACAAGTCAGACACGTGATATGACCCAGAACCTTCCTGGTCATCACGGGGATACAAATAGAAGTTAAATAAAAATGAGATGCTGCTTCCACATGTGATTTTGGCAGGAAATGTTTAGAGCAAGAAAATCCAGTACTAGGACAGTTATAAGCGAACAGGAGAGGAACTGAGAATGGCGACAGCCGTTTTGAAAATTATTCTTCCAGAATTAATTGAAATTAAATGCACATCTTCTCCTTTTGAGGAGCTGATCCTATAAAAGTGTGTGTGTGTGTGTGTGTGATAACTGGTAAAAAGAGGAAAATGGGGGGAGAATAGTAGCTTTTCATTTATTTCATTTCTTTACCCTATATCATTGGATATGATGAGTGTGTGTTATTTTTGCATTCAGAAGGGGGAATTTAATAAAGAGTTATTTTTTAAAGACAGAAAAAAGATTGATGCCTGGAAAAAGAACACTGTGATTACTTCTGATGATTTTAGTTTTCTTCAATATGTTATTTTTACGTCTCGTAGACTTTTTGCATGGAGGAGGAATAGCTTTTAGACTATTTTAAACAAAGTATTAGATGCTCATAATTCAAATGATACAGACGTGTAAATTGAAAGAGTACCAGTGTGGATCAGGGAGGGACACGCTGAAATTTGGTGTGGGCATCACCCATTGCCAAGGTTTTGCTATTTAGCCTCAGCCTTTGGAAGATGAACTATCCGGCAGTGGTCTCCATAGTCCTTGGCCGTGGCCAGTGATTGCCTTGTTGCACTGGGGTCTCCATCATATCTGATCAGCCTCACAGCATCTGTCATTTGGATTTCTTCTAATTATCAGAATCTGACGTTACTATGTTTCAGGTATTGGTAAGCATTCTCAGTGTAACAAGCAATGAGTCTCTCCTGGCGGGCTCCCTTTGGTGGAGCTCCATCAGTCACGCATACCACATTCATCATTGCCAGAGTAAAGTGCTATCATTATTCATGATGATTGGGGAAGCATTATGAAAATATAAGTGAGGACAGCAACCTGAAGTCCGTGGCAGCACATCTTCAGGAAGCATCTTCTGCGCATGGTTAGCCAAGCTTGGGTTTGTCAGATAGATTCTGTATGACTGCAGCATCTCCGTCAGCATCTTCAAGTCAGACGGTTGACAAGGTGTCCTCACCTTAGCTACTTTCAGAGAGGAGGGCGTGGCCAGGAGCAACCGGGCTCTTTACCAGCAGAACTGGCCAAAAACCATCCAGCTCCACCACCATCCAGCATCCACTCAGTGCCGCAAAGACACAGGCTGGCAACCACAGGAGCTGTTTAGCAACTGACAATAATGAGAAAGTAGTGTTCCTGGACTTTTGAATTCGACTATGAACATTTTTAATAATAAGAGTGTGATCTTTAATACACTTGGAGATGCTTTCTTAAATCCCAGGTGTTTACTCTGTGGCGATTGTCATCAGCTTTGGCTGCAGTTGATTTTAGCTCTTGGCTGTTTAGGATTTGGCCAAAATACATGTTTAATATATAAGGTAAAAAGTGAAAATTCTTATTCACCACCCACCTCATCATCTGACACATGCCCAAAAGTCACCAAATCTTAGTAGTCCAGTGTGTGTCATTAAATTTTGGCTTACCTATACCGGGCCTACACACAGACACACACAATTTGCTTTTTCCATCTTTTATTAAGTTAATATTATGTACCTATCACTGCAACCTGCTGTTTCTCATTTAATGTTGGACATTTTTCCATGTCATTATATATGTATCTACGTCATTCTTTTCCATGGCCAAGTAGGAAATTGGTTTAGTAATACACAGTACATCCATGCAGTGAAATACTTCATTTAAAAAAAGAAAATCACGTTGTAGAAACTTAATGATGTGAAAATGAAATATTGTAAGTACCAGAAAGCAGTCAATGGGGAGGCAGTGCTGGATTTGGCTAAGAAAATAAGAGTTTGGGTACTAATCCCACTTGTTGAGAGGATTAAGTAAAATCACTCAGAGGCACAGTGCTTTTCAAAAAATAAGTATTTCAGGTGACTTTGGCCAAGAATATTTTTGTTCCCCAAAATGTACACATACACATACAGAAATAATTGGAAAAATAAGCAGTAGTTCATGGGTAGCAAGTTGACTTGTGTGTTAGTGAGGACCCATTAAGCTGCTGTTACAAAGAATCCCAGACACCAGCTCATACAAGGTAGAGGTTTATGTCTGTCACACTGTCCAGAGGTAAGCAAGTGGTCTGAGCAGGTAGGCAGTTCTGTCCTAGGAGATCATCCAGGGACTTAAGTTCCTTCTGTGTCATTAGAGTACATTCGGTTACGTTATCCACCGTCTGCAGGTGTGCTGCCCTCGCCTGTTGACCCCTGTGTCTTGGTAACAGCTGGCAAGTCAGGTGGAAAGAGAAAACGTATGAGGCAAGCAATTTCCTTTTATGAAGGACACATTTACCTTCTCTGCCATTTTGACTGATGAGGACTTGGTCTCAGAGTCACACCTAGCTGCAAGGGAGGCTGGAAAATGTCTTTAGCTGGTCAGCCATGAGTTCTCCTTAAACTAGAGATTCTGAGTTTTAGGGTATGTCTATTATGAAAAAGAAAGAAGAACCAATGGATGTACAAGATAGTGTTTCTTATTTTACTTAGCTGTACTTTAAACATTTGAGTTGCCATCTATTTTTAAATAATAAAGAATTCATATTCAATGTAGGAAAAATTAGAAAATATGAATAAGCAAAACAGAAGAGATCCCCCCTCTCCCAAGATGTTCTCTCTTTGCCAATCATCCATCTAGTGCAGAGGGGGTTTTTAAATATTCTTTGGTGACTGTGTTTTACTCTTTTTATAAGGCAGCGGGAAATAAGCCTTTTTCCTTTTTCACCTTGTTTCCTGATGCCATCTGTGCACGTGTGAAGGAGACAAACCCCACAAGTGTGAAGTCTGTGGCAAGTGCTTCAGCCGGAAGGACAAGCTGAAGACCCACATGCGGTGCCACACAGGCGTGAAGCCCTACAAGTGCAAGACGTGTGACTATGCTGCCGCCGACAGCAGCAGCCTCAACAAGCACCTGCGGATACACTCGGACGAGCGGCCCTTCAAGTGCCAGATCTGCCCCTACGCCAGCCGCAACTCCAGCCAACTCACCGTCCACCTCCGATCCCACACAGGTTAGTCCTTCGTGTGGTCCTCGCGCTACCCTCCCAGTTTCCTATTGCTTCAGTCACAAGACCGTAAAGCACGTAGTCGCAACCTGGGTAAAGGAATCGGGGATGTTTGGTCACCCCATGGTTTGCAGTTTTGCTTTTCGTCTGCTCTGAAGTGCATTTCTCAGTAAAATAGGGGAAAACATCAAGGTTATAACTTTACGTATATCTTTATGCAGCTTTATAACTTATTTACTAGTAAAGTATTTAAATGAGGAGGTGCACTAAATAAAAGAGATACAAACAATGCATTTTTAATAAATTGTATAATGTATGGTTAGGCAGTTCAGTCATTTTTTTAAAGTATATTCTGATCGGTTCAGCATGAGACAGCTTGATAGAAAAACTCAGCAGAGTATATAAGTTAACAAATTGAGTATATAACTTAACAAATTATGTATGTTTTCCTGTTAGCAAGTGTATCAGTTAGCTTTTGATACAATGATGCTGTGTAACAACTACCGCAAAACCTCAGTGTCGTATTGTAAAAGCATTTATTGCTCACATACTTCAGGTCAACGAAGGTGGGATTGACTTTCCATTGATCTTGGCTGGGCTTAATCACATGTGTGGCAAAGGCTGGGTGTCCACTGGCTGACCTTGGCCAGGGACCTGCTGGCTATGGGTTAGCTCGCCATCCCCTTGCCTTGGCTGGGGCAGTCTGGCTCTGCTCCACGTGTCTCATCACCTCCCTCTGGGAATCCATGAACTATTCCAGTTCTTCTCATGACAATGACAGACCTCTGCACAGCAAACAAACAAGCATGCCCCAGTGTGTAAGCTCATTTCAAGCCTCTGCTTGCGTCCCATTGGCTAAAGCAAGTTATATGGTTGGGCCTGGTGTCAAGGGATGGGGCTGAGCTCGCCCACATGGAGAGTCATCACAAGGTCACGTGGCAAAGGCCATTTTTGCAAGCAACCTCAGCTCACCCCACCATCAACCACATCTCTCTGACATGCAGAGACATTCATGCCCTCCCAGGACCCCTACAAGTCACACCCAATCATAGGCTCAGGCTTAAAGACCAAGACATCGTCTCTCCATCAGGTAGGCGTATAGCTTCTCCTGACGTAGAGCCCTTTGACGTAAAAAGGCATGCTGTCTGTCCGCACGCTCCCAGTGTGCAGTGGTGAGACCGAGCTGGGATAATAATCCTGCTGTTTCAACAGGGAGGGACAGGAGGCACCTGGTAGTCACTGGTCCACAGATTTCTGAAATCCTTCTGGGCAAATATTTCTAGGTCCCCTGACTCTGGGGACCGGGACTGTTTCTTCATTAGGCCTTGGCTGAGTCTCTGGGGTTTTGACTGTCCCTGGAGCATCCTTTCATCACCTTCCTAAACCACTTCTGAAAAGGAGTGGAAACTGTACCTCTGAGAGACTTTCTCAGTCTACTACCTGCCTACCGAAAGTTGGGATCTTTAATTTTATTTTAGTCTAAGCTGGTGACAGTTTCACTGGTGGAGCTGTCTTTAAAACTGTGTGAGTTTCCTGTGTATCTGGGTGCCAGAAGCCACACCCATAATTATTTTGGAGACTTGTCTTTTCTTTAAACCCCACTATAGGCACTTTTGGCATTTAGCCTTTTGTAGGTTGAATCCTATGAGACTTTTAGGACTCCTTGTCTAGCTGCGAGAACTTCCTTGGCACCAACTTTATTCTTTTGGCGATTTTAACAAAGAACCTCACTTTTGCGAGCCTCATCGCCCATCTGTTCTTCCCTCTGAGATCGGTTCCTTGGATGTGATCTTCGTCCCCAGGCTTTTGTCTTACTTTGAAAATCTTTTGCTGGTTGGAGATGAGAAACTTCATCTAACCCAGCACATCTTTGATCTCCTATATTCTCTCTAAATTCCATTTTGAAAACGGCTGGTTCTTTTTGAGTTTCTCTCCTTCTTAAGGTACCTTATCATAGGCGGCTTGAAAGACACTTTCACCCTTCTGCCTAGAATTCATTTCTTTACTCAAGTCCAAAATTCAGTGGGCATATTTTCTATCTTCTCAGTTACCACAGGTGACAGTTTTACCAAATGTTCGCCATTAAATAATGTGCACTGCCACTTTTCCAGCCTCTGCCTGCCGCCAATCCCAAAGCCAACACTGCATCTTTTAGTTTTCTGTTATGGCAGCCCTCTGTTTCTAGATGCAATATCTGTATCAGTTACCTGTTGTCACAGTAATGCAGTGTAACAAATACCCCAAAAATCCTCAGTGGATGCAGCAACATGCCTTCTCTGTTCACACCTGGGGATCAGCTGGGTGACACCTGGGCAGAACTGATGATCTCCACTGGGCTCACTTACAAACCCGAGAATCTGCGGGCTGTGGGCTGGCCGGCCACTGGACTTGGCAGCAGTAATCCAGCTCTGTTCCACATCTGTCATCCGCCTCCTGGGATTGGAGGGCCAGAACAGGCTTGACCTTCTCGTGGCGGTGCGTGACACAGGGCCAGCGAGCAAACCCCAATTCGCAAGCCCATTTCGAGCCATTGCTTGTAGTGAGTCTAGTTAACATACCATCGGCGAAATCCAGTGACACGGTCCTGTCTGTTTTCGGGGGTCATGGCAGGTCATCCTGCCCCTGTCAAGAGAGCATGTATAATTACATACGTGGCAGAGGCCATGGCTACAGGGAGGGATCGGAGGTGGGGAGGTTTGGGGACATTAATCTCCTACAGCAGGTTAAGACATTGACATAACTGATACCTGTCTGACTTTTTTGAGAAATCTCCCCAGCCTAAGTTAGAGGCACTGAAGGATTTATTAGGGAAGTGATTCGGAATCATTTTGATTTATGAGGATAAACTTACCATTTATAGTAGCACCTTTAAGTTGATCTAGAAAGGCTGTTTTCTCTAAAAATGTAAATGTGTGCCATTTATGACGTGTCTCCATGGAATGTTCATTTCCCTCTTATAAATCTGTGGCACTTAATAAAATTTCACAAATTGTGAAATTAATAGGATTTTGTTTTTACCCTTCCATCGCTTTGTTCAACTGCAGTGTCTTACTAGCAACTTAAACTTAAGAAAGATCTGTCAGCTTAAATATGCCAGTTGCTTGCTCATTGGGCAACATGAAGTCCCCACCAGGTACCAGACACTGTGGGGATCAGGCGGTGGGTAGGGATGAGCATGGTCATTAGCTTTGGAGAGCTTACAGTCTAGTGGGAGTGCTGCTGACCAGTCTGCCTCATTGAAGACACAAATCCGTGATTAAAAGGAAGAAGCAGAAGAAGATGAGAAGGAGGCCGATGAAGAGATGTAAGCCCTTTGCTTTCATGTCAGAAAGCAACTCAGCTGCAAGATTTGGTTATCTGGTTGTTCTGCGTTTGACCTCTGCTGACTGCTTTGAAAAAGAAAAACAAAAGACAAACAGATCACCAACTTGGGCAGTGATGGAACTGGAAGACCTAGTAGAACATTCTGGAGCAGACACTCTTCCTCTGAGTCCACAGGCACCTCCACCCAGGGGTCCATGAGTAGAATTTAGGAGGTTTGTAAACTTGGATGAGGAAAAGAAATTACATCTTCATTTTCACTAACCTTCCTGAAATGTGATGTGTCCTTCAATTATGAAAATAGGCGTCCCATCTGATAACAGGGCGTGTGAACTTGTCGCCAGTAGAAGTCGCAGCTCTCTTTACAGCAAGTGATCGATCAGAATATCGTTTACTCTCTCCTCTATTTAGAAATTATCGCAGTCACTCGACCCGCCGCTGGAGCTTGTTACTTAATGCATTAAAAAGCACACACATTGCCATATCACGATTTTTTTCTTTTAATTTTTAAAGTAATTTTCAATACAATTAGTTGCATTTGTATTCCTATTGATTTTTATTTTGGTTTACTTTCTGCATTTAAACATTATCCTGAGAAAGGGTCCATGGATTTCACTAAACTGCCAAAAAGGGGTCCGTGGCATAAAAAAAGGTTAAGAACAACATTCTAAGGCAGAAGTCAACAAGCTTTCTGTAAAGAGCCAGATAGTAGACACTTGAGGCTTGGCAGGCCATTCAGTGCCCGTCACGATTGCTCACCTCTACTGATATAGCCTGAACGCAACCATCAACAACACAGAAATGGACGTGGCTGTGTTACAATAAAACTTTATTTACAAAAACAGGCTGTAGCTGGATTTGGCCGACAGTCTATATAGCTTACGGTTCCTTGTTCTAGAGTTTTGTGTGAATGATCTCGGGGCATTGAGTCATACAAAGCATCGTTTAGTTTGGGGCTTCTCCATCTCCTAGAAGCTTGTTTAATTTGCTCCCTGCATCTTTAATTGCATTTATTAAACAGCTCATTGTGATGTTATAGGTCTTATACCAAAAAGCCGGGAACACCATCCCACTCTTTTGAGCGTATGGCCTAAGAAAGCAAACATCGCTTGTAGGTACAGGTGCTCACCTAGCATCTGAGAATAACCAGCTTTGGAATCAGTCTCGGTTCGAATCCAAGCTCTGGCGTGTCCTCCTGGGTGGCCGTGAACCAGTCATGTAGCCCCTCTAGACCTCAGTCTCCTCCTTTGTACAATAGTGTTGAGAATAATATTGATAACAGTACCCACCTCATGGGACAGTCAGGATCATCAGATGAGACCATTCCTGTGGAGCGCTCAGCAGGGCGCCTGCCATCCCAGAAGAGACGGAAGAATCTTAGCGGCTGTTGTTTTTGCTTGCTTAAACACTGTTGCCACAGGCGGGGTCACCAATTTGCTTGAATTATCAGTGCCGTAGACGATTTGGACTTGGCATTCACTGAGGAAAATAAATTTGGAATATCATGTCCTTTCAGATGTTTGCAATTTCGCTTTTTCTGTTCATCTTTCACTGAACATGAATTTAAAAAAAAAGGAAAGAAATCAAGCAGCTGGATTTTGTAACTTCACAAGTAAAGAACGCAGCTGGCAATGTGGGATAAATAAATTGTGCGCAATAAACACGTCTTTATTAATAAAAATCTG